CTTTCATAACCTTAGTAATAATTCTTCTCATTCCCCATGTCTTCACTTGGTTTAATAACCCACAAGATGATTATTAAAATATCACACCTTGAGGACTCCCCCAAGTAAGCTAAACATGGTAAGTAGAAGAGAATCATGTGCCAGGCTCTGTGCTATGTGGTTTGTGTTATCCCATTTATTCTTCAAAACCACCTGCTAAATAGGTACTAATATCCTCCCCACTTTGCAGACAAGAAAGAACAGAGAGAAAAGAACTTGCTCAAGATGATTACACAGCAACTAACTTTAAGAGCCCAAATTTGGACTCAACCCTACTTCAGAGTCTGCATGTTTAATGAGGGGTTAGAGAAAGGGTAACAAGAAGAATGAAATACTTCCTGTTATTTAAATTGAACTCACCACCAGCACCTCCACTGTATATGCTTCTCCAATTCTAACTAGTCTAAAAAAGTATTGACCTACACCCACTGAACAGATTTCCAGATCGTAAAGCCCTCCTACTCACCTCCATTATACACATCTGCCACAACTGGCAGGTGACTGTGCACTAAAAACTTCATTTTTTATAAGGTCAAGCATAATCATTTAAACTATGACTTACAGAGTGCAAAGCCCTGTTCTAAGTGTTTTTCATGTATTAACTTATTAATTATAACTTACATTAACTTGTGAGAAGGCAAAATTGTTATTTCACTTTACAAACGAGGAAGCTAAGACAAAGAGAGATTAAATTACTTGCCCAAAGTCATATAGTAAATGATACAGCCAGGATTTGAATCCAGCCAGTCAGCCTTTAGAGACCATACTCTTAGCCACTGTTTTATACTGTTTTTGAAACATATTAGTAACTTATTCTTAAAATCAAGGAATCTGTGCTATTTTGTTTCCTTTAATCTTTAGTGCCCAGGACTTCTCTCTGCAAACAGGGAGTGTATTTCGCCTTAAGGCTTGTGACATCTCTCCAAGGCAGGTAATAATTTTTTAAAAAATTAAAATTTATCAAACTTACTTCACCTAGTAAGTATCTTTTTTAAAAAATTATAAAAGTACTACATTCTGAATAATTCTGGCACCTCTTTGCTTAGTGCCTGCTTACTACAGAGTTACTAAAGAATTACTTCAAGGGTTCTTGAACTGAAAAGAGAGATCTGAAGTAACAGCCACTAACTCTTATTTTCTTATCCGAAAAGAGGGAAGAAGGAGAGAGGGAGGGAGGGGGAGAAGGGAAGGAAGAGAGGCGGGGAGGGATGTACGGAGGGAGGAGAGCAGAGAGAGAGAGGGAGGGAGGAGGGTTGAGAGAGGTGTTTCGGAAACTTCTCTGCTTCCCAAAAAGAACTCTAAAAACCGGAGCAAGAGCAGCTGAGAAAACAAAGGGCCTTTGTCGCGGTACTCCCTAAAGTCTAATTACTGTATTCCCATGACTAAATACAGGAGTGGTAAAAATCATTGTCAGGTAATTTCTCTCCTGCACTCCAGGTATTCAGCGACCGAGCTTTTTCTGCAAAATACTCACAGCTTTTGTACCCTCGAAGCCCCCCTCAAATCCCAACCCTAGCAACGTAAGGATACCCAGGGGTGCAATTCAGAGTCGAGCTCCAAAGCGTCCCGGCAGGAGTCCGTGAGGACACCTCGGCCGGGCGTCCCTCCAGCCTGGGGTTTCCAGGCAACCCCACTCCGGCCTGAAGCAGCTGTGCTTCCTACCGGGTCACCTAAGAGTTGCGAGAAGAGGCTCCAGCAACACCCGGGCGGGGGCAGCCGGACGCCCCTCCCGGTGCCGCCGCTTTCCTGTAACCCGGATGTTGGGTCTGCGTCAGCATTCTCACCTCCCATTCCCTAGTTTTCCGCCTTGGCTCCCAACTAGTCACTTCGCACCTTAGGCGTCTTTATTCAGAGAGACTCAGAGACTCCTCTCCCGGTGCGACGAACTCTCCCAGCTACACATCCCATGGAGAACAGATTCCTGGGAAATGTAGTTCTTTCTGTTGACAAGTGGTGAATCTTTACGGGAAAAGGACTACAATTCCCAGAAATCCAAGGGAGGATAGTGCATGTCTAAACCATGTCCCCGCTGCTTGGATTGGATTAGGCGGGAAGGTTCTGTGTCTCTTTGCATACCTAGCTGCCTGGATTTTTGCCCACTACAAGCTTGTGGGACAACTTTCTTTTGTTAACATGCTTTTTATGTGTGAGAGGATCTAAACACAGTTTTATTTATATGAAGAGATATGGTAAGTAAAAATAATGTTTTTTAATTCTTTCAGATAAGAGATCTACCCATCATCAGAAAATATGTCACTACAGATGGTGACAGTTGGTAATAACATAGCCTTAATTCAACCAGGCTTCTCATTAATGAATTTTGATGGGCAAATTTTCTTCTTTGGCCAAAAAGGCTGGCCCAAGAGGTCCTGCCCCACTGGAGTTTTCCATTTTGATGTAAAGCATAATCATCTCAAACTGAAGCCTGCAGTTTTCTCTAAGGATTCCTGCTACCTTCCTCCTCTTCGCTACCCAGCTACTTGCACATTCAAAGGCAGCCTAGAGTCTGAAAAGCATCAGTACATCATCCATGGAGGGAAAACACCAAACAATGAGCTTTCAGATAAGATTTATGTCATGTCTGTTGTTTGCAAGAATAACAAAAAAGTTACTTTTCGCTGCATAGAGAAAGACTTGGTAGGTGATGTTCCTGAAGGCAGATATGGTCATTCCATTGATGTGGTGTATAGTAGAGGGAAAAGTATTGGTGTTCTCTTTGGAGGACGTTCATACATACCTTCTGCCCAAAGAACCACAGAAAAATGGAATAGTGTAGCTGACTGCCTGCCCCATGTTTTCTTGGTGGATTTTGAATTTGGGTGCTCTACATCATACATTCTTCCAGAACTTCAGGATGGGCTATCTTTTCATGTCTCCATTGCCAGAAATGATACCATTTATATTTTAGGAGGACATTCACTTGCCAATAACATCCGCCCTGCCAATCTATACAGAATAAGGGTTGATCTCCCCCTGGGTAGTCCAGCTGTGAATTGCACAGTCTTGCCAGGAGGAATCTCTGTATCCAGTGCAATCCTGACGCAAACAAGCAATGATGAGTTTGTTATTGTTGGTGGCTATCAGCTTGAAAATCAAAAAAGAATGATCTGCAACATCATCTCTTTTGAGGACAACAAGATAGAAATCCGTGAGATGGAAACCCCAGATTGGACTCCAGATATTAAACACAGCAAGATATGGTTTGGAAGCAACATGGGAAATGGAACTATTTTCCTTGGCATACCGGGAGACAACAAACAGGCTGTTTCAGAAGCATTCTATTTCTATATGTTGAAATGTGCTGAAGACGATGTGAATGAAGATCAGAAAACATTCACAAATAGTCAGATGTCAACAGAAGACCCAGGGGACTCTACTCCCTTTGAAGACTCGGAAGAATTTTGTTTCAGTGCGGAAGCAAATAGTTTTGATGGCGATGATGAATTTGACACCTATAATGAAGATGATGAGGAAGATGAGTCTGAGACAGGCTACTGGATTACATGCTGCCCTACATGTGATGTGGATATCAATACTTGGGTACCATTTTATTCAACTGAGCTCAACAAACCTGCCATGATCTACTGCTCTCATGGAGATGGGCACTGGGTCCATGCCCAGTGCATGGATCTGGCAGAACGCACACTCATCCATCTGTCAGAAGGAAGCAACAAGTATTACTGCAATGAGCATGTGGAGATAGCAAGAGCACTGCAAACCCCCAAAAGAGTCCCACCCTTAAAAAAGCCTCCACTGAAATCCCTCCATAAAAAAGGTTCCGGGAAAATTCTTACTCCCACCAAGAAATCCTTTCTTAGAAGGTTGTTTGATTAGTTTCACAAAAGCCTTTCAGATTCAAGTGCATCAGATTTTTAAATCTATTTTAAGGAATCATAACAATGATAAAAATTATATTCCTATTTTTGTTTACTGAAAATGCTTAACGTTTTCTTTTAGTTATACAAATTAAATACCAGGGAAAAGTGTTTGTAATACAGAACTAAATATAGTCATTGTATTTAAGCCTATATAGAACCTGTAACCTGTATTTTGAAAATATTTTACTCAAATGTATCTTGAGTGAGAATTTATGATCTGAATTTTTTATTCAAGGACTCAAACACAGAAGCAGTAATAATAATTAAGTTATGCTTATTATCCCTTATACAGCTTTTGGATAACAAATAACCTAGAGGGTCATTAAGGCAAATTTAACCAGTAAAGAAACTAACACCCAAAGAAAGTAAATGAATTTTTTGTGCAATATAAAAATTTGGTGGTTGGCCAAAAATTAAAACTGAGATCATCTGTATTCCACAGGAATGTTCTTTATAATTCTCTAAGATGGTTACCTGACTATGCCCATGGTCAGAAAAAGCTGTAAGAAGATAGGTAGGTAGGTAGGAAGGAAAGAAGGAAGGAAGGAAGGAAGGAAGGAAGGAAGGAAGGAAGGAAGGAAGGAAAGAAAGAAAGAAAGAAAGAAAGAAAGAAAGAAAGAAAGAAAGAAAGAAAGAAAGAAAGAAAGAGAAAGAAAGAAAAAGGAAGGAAGGAAGGAAGGAGAAAAATAGATAATCTCCACTGACATGAAGAAAGAGAAAAGGAATGGACATCAAGTCTGTTACATTTTATCAAGCTATTCATATGCACTTTCTTCAGAGGACTCCCCCTCCCCCACCATAAGGTCCATGTGTGATGAACCACAGCTAGTCACTTAAACCAATCCTTTGAGAGACTTAATGAAAACGGAAGTCCACTGCTACTCAGCACTCTGAAACAGGGAGATGAGTGACAGCACACTAGGAAAGAACCACCAAACAAATCTCATAGAGAGATTATTTCACCAATTAATATTGACTACTTGCCCAAATAAAGTTTAAAGAATTTGATAAAGTTAACAAGTAGATTTTAAAAGGGGAGAAAGAAATTCATGTGTATGTTTATAAGTCTAGTTATATGTGGAGTTTGCTTCCAATGAAAATTATAAAGTCAGTGAGCTTGCTAAGGTTCAATTAGATACTTGCTAAAATTAAAATTAAAAGGACTGTTAATTTTGAGGCTTCACTACATCAGTTGATAATTAGATGACCTTAGATATAAATGTTTTCCCTCCTGCAGTATTTTTCTAGAGAAGCATTTCACTTTAGACTAAGAGCTTAAACCATCACTTCTAATTTATCAGCCTTCATTAAGGGTCCTCAGTGTGTAAGGTACTATTGCCAAATTTAGGGGAAATATAAACCATACTGGAGATGAAATCCTGGAACAAAAGTTCTTCTGCTAACAGTTCCATGTCTCAGATACTGAAACTAATTTGAAAAAAATTAAACCATGCTTAACTTTGTTTCAGCGATGTTGCTTGATGAATTTTCCTTTTAAATAATTTGCTGTACTGTTGTTTCAATTTTTTGTTGTTTCCATCACCTATATAAAGCTAATAAAATATGAAAACACCTTCTGTTTATATTGATTTACTCCAATTTTACTCCAATTATTAACATTTGTAGTTACTTGGTTACAGGCAAAATTATACTATTTAATTTTCTCAGGATCACTCTATTTGAATTTCTTTTTTATCTCTTAATAGAAAGTGGCATCACTTGGAGCTGAAATATCCTCCACAAGGTTCAGAAGGGTTATTCCCTCAAGTAGTATATGCATTCTCTTATCTTGATTTATCTACAGTGAGAAAATGGCTAAAAAATAATTACCCATATTTGTTTTGTAGTCAGTGAGATCATGTGATAATCGAAGTGATTCAATTAAGAACTCACGGGGTTCTACAAACTCAGGTCTCGTGAGCATAGCTGCTTTTAGGGTGTGTGTTGTGTGTGTGAATAGCAAGTTCTTTGGTTTTCCTTACCATATATTTGAGTCAAAATAGGTCTTTTTAAGTCATCTCACCAGTGAGTCCACCATATGTGACTTTAAAATAATAAACCTTCTTTTCTAATAAGTATATGCAGACTTTCAAATGAATCACATTAGAAGAGTCGTCATTTATTCCAATGATATAATGCTTTTGCCTAAAATATTTCTAGGACTTACTTTACAATCATCTTCAGAGCCTATGGTTCATTCCTTTGAAGATACTCAACAGTTGTGCCTCTTCCTCCATTAGAGATGGATTTGTTTTCTGGAAACAGACCAAGGTTATTCAAAGCCTAGTAGGGTGTAACCCTCAGTATTAAATTGCCACTTTAGGTAAATAATGAAGCCTAAGTCCAAGCTAACAAAATAGATTTCTGATATACCTCACAAATTGGTTCTGAAAGTTAAGTCCTAAAACTGTTTACCCAAGAATATTATCAATAAATAAGTACATGGCTTTCCAGAGTGACCATTTTAAGGAATACTCATCAAAAGTACAAATGAGTTCAGTGTGTTAGGAGAGGGCAAAGCATAGTTAGTCTAAACCCCGGAGGGTGAGATGATTGTCCCATTTGAGGAACAGGAAGAACATCAGTCTGGTGAAACCATAGTAAACAAGGGTAGTGTGGACTGACACAAGCTTGGAGAGGTGAGCAGGGCCAGGGCCATCAGTGTTCCATCAGTACAGTAAAATCACATACAACTTCATGCATGTCATGTTGACCTGTCCCTTCCTGCCTACCTCTCTGTTTTACTACTCTCTTCACACTTTGTGCTCAATCTCCAAAAATGCTGAACTGATAAGATTTCTGATGAGTACCTCTGTTTCAGGGATACTGAGGGCTTTGAGGAAATCAATTCCTTCTGTAGCGCATACCTTCCCTCTTGTACTTTATAACTCCTGCTAATACCCTGGTCTCTCTGGCCCATTCCCCTCCACTCTTTCTATCCCAGTTCAGACACCTGCCCCCTACCAGGAAGCCTTCTCTGAACCCCATAACCTCCTTGATAGCTGTAATGCTTACAAATCTCTGTGTATAGACTCAGAAGTAAAAGAAATAATCCTTTTTTTACTGTGGGTTGCAAATTTAATTTTAATAAGTTTAGAGTTCTCTGTTTTCATCTAACTTTTTCTCCAAGTTCCAGGTAGACATATAACGCTGAGCTGTTGAGAGCAGGAGGGAGTGAGTGTGAAGCATCTGGTACTTAGGGTCATCATCCCTCCTCACTAGCTGCTTCTACAACATCCACGCTCCCACCTGGCCTGAGGTTAGCTCAGAAGATGATTCCTGAGTTGCACCAGGTACCTTGTGGACTCGCATGATGAGGAGGAGAGCTATCTGCCCCTTCCTGTCCCAGCACGGCCACAGTTCTCTCTGCAGGACCATCTAGGACTTGCCCATTTTCTGTGCCACTCCTGTGCACATCCTGCTCATGCACCTTACTGGGTCACAGAACCTCTTCCCAACTGTCTCTGGCTAAACCCACTTTACCACCATTTCACCTCTGGAAGTCACTGGCTTTGTCTACTCTATCAGGAAGGTAAGTAGCATCTTCTCTCTGCTCCTGAGTTCCTGAAGCTTATCTGAGGTTTCACTTGTTCTCCCAACTCCACTGCTTAACACAAAATATAGGATAACTTATAATTTCTATATGCCTACTACTTAGCATGATGCCTGGCATATTGTAGGCACTTAAATTGTCTTTGAAATGAATTAAATTCTTTGGTGAGTTGCATCTATATTTCAGTATGGGAAGCCAAAGTGATTTACTCATTGTCTAGATTAACAATAAAATAAATATTTTGAGTAAAATAGAGTGAATAAATTATATTAACTGAATAT